ACTGTTGTTAATCACATATAGTAAAATGCTAGGCCTTAGGCCTTGTTCGTTTAAATGTTTCCTCTTAGATTAATTTACTTAGTACTGGATAGTAACTGTAAAGCAAAACTAAGTCTTTGATCTTAGTGATACTATAAAACTTTTCTCCTTGAATATTTTGGGATTGTTCTCTACAACATTCTTGAGTGGAGAGTCAGGCAAAAAAAATTATACCTTTCCAATTTTTAAGTTATTCTGGTAAAGTCTATATAAGTTTAATTATTTTATAAACCTGTGAAGAAAAGTTGTGCATAAAATGCTTTATTAATTCAATCTTTGCAACATTTGCTGAGTTTAGATAATAAAACTGTACATAGAAGTCTCATAATTTTTCCCTGAATTTGTGGTTAGTAGTCTCAGTCATTTATAAAGAGGTCAGTAATGATCTCTTTCCATTTTAACTCTAATTGTGAATAATACTTTATTGAATTTTTGCTTAGAATTTTACTTAGAAGTATTAACTGGGTCGTATTTTCATACTGTATTAAAACATGCTTGTAACTATTTTGAGAATACTGTTCCTAAAGGCCATAGCCAATGGTCTGGCAATTTGAACTAAATCCAGAAATCATATTATAAACGTACGCTTAAACTATACTGGTAAAGGTAGAGGATATATATCTATTTGAAAGTAGGAGAAATAAAATTTGATTATTTTTCCTATCGGTTATTATCCTTTTACAAATTATTAAGCTCTACTAGTAATATTTGCTAATTATTATTTAAGTAGCAGTCAAGTATAAATTATAATTCTCTGAAAACTCAGAATCCAAGTTCCCTTTTAAGAATGAAATGGATTATTTTGCATTTAATTTTATTACCTATATGCCCTTTCAAAATAAAAACAATTGACTAAAACATGTAAAACAAATTCACAAACATTCTCAAGTTGGACCAAAGGAGTCTGATAAAGTTTTATGCTCTGAAGGATAATGATGGTCTTTAATGATCCCACTGATACACAGAAGGAATCTCATAGACGTACTGCACACTCAGTGTACTGCCTGGAATAGCAGATCAGAATTATTTGGAAGCTAGCACTTAGTGAATCAGAATCTTTTTTTAAAGAAGACAGAAGTGATTCTTCTGTAAGTTATATTTTATGAAACACTGGCCTACTGGTTCTAGGAGTTTACTTCACAGCTTATTGGTAGTGTAAATTTTGGGTAAGGTGTTAACTATTCTGTGCTGTAAATTTTATTTGTAAAATAACTATTTCTCATGAAGTTATTTCTTAGCACTTTAAAATACCACACCCACAGACAGAAGTTATACTAAGCTATCTGTCTGCTTTTGGTGCTAAGCATTGTGTGCTAGGTGGCAACAGTATCTGTAAGAAAAGGCTGATGAGAAATCTGAAGAGAAATAACAGAATGTTTAGGGATGAAAGTCAAAATAAATCAGGAACACACAATAATCCTGGCTACTCAATCTGTAGAAAGTTAAATGAGAGACGTCTTAGTTTACTTTGAAATTTAGAAATGCATGTTTTTTTTATTGTGAAGATACTGTACAGAGGGGTTACAATTATATGGGCAAGGTAATGAGTACATTTCTTACCAAGCATTGTTGCCTCTTCCTTTGTTGCAATGGGTCCACCTGTATCCCTATGGTCTTATATAGCATGTTACATAGTTTAAGTAGATTAATATAGGAATATAAAGAGTGGTATTTAATATCTTAAAATTTGATAGCTCATAGTTGCTCTTAATTTAAAGTCAAGAAAAAAATCTCTTCTTCTAGAATATAGGAAGCAGAATAAGAAAAGCTTCTTGTAAGGAACATTTTAAGTTTGCTCCCTATAGCTGGGATTAGTCACCTCAGAAGTATTCATACAACTTCAATGATAATTTTAAGGGGCTAGAAATCTTAATGTAAGACCATTTTCAATGCTTTCTATTGTCAAAAATTCTTGTTTGAAATGAAAATCTTAAAGTGCTAACCATGTACCTCATCTTGCAAACAAATTTCTATGTGATAAAGGTTTTTTGTTCTACAATTCTAGGCTACTTTCTGTAGTTTATAAAACACTGAATTGATTTAAAGCAGCCTTTCCAAATGGGAGAAATGTGTCTACTTTGAAACATGGGTCATTTTAGTAAAAAATAAATATTTAAGTAGGTTAGAAGCAAGGGAATATAGACTTTCAATAGAAAAGCTTTTGTTTGCAAGTGAATACCTGAAAATTTATACTCTTCTAGAATATTATATGAAAAGAAAACCATAAAAAATCAAAATTTGTATCAATCTGGTACATCGATAACTTCTATGATAGCTTATATGATATGATAGTTTGTAGACATTATATGTCGCCATATAAACTTTTAAATAAGTGTCTTTGCATATAAACTTGAGCCATGACCTTTGAGGTCACCATTGTGTATAGTTTAAAAACAACTCATAATGCTTAATTACTTGAGCAAAAGACAGAATCTAAAACATCACAATTCTAATTATGTTTCTTTTCTGTATGAGTTCATACCTCTCTAAAAAGCTAGAGGCTTAGAAATTACTAAGAGCTGGTTAAATAGTCTGATTAGATATCAGACTTGCATCAGTGGGTGATAGTCTTACACAAATCACAATGTAACAAAATGATAAAATATGTATGTGGAATTCTTGTGTATGTCTGTTAACCACAGCATCTTGGAATAATTTTTCCCTGCAGTCCATTTTCCATTTTAGAATTACTTGCCCGATCATTGCTAACTCCCAGATTTAACATGGAAATCAGGAATGATATACTAACACATAGGTCTGTACATTTAACTTACTCTATAGTACTACTTTGTACTACTGTTGTGCCTGTTATGTAATATTCCGAGAGAATTTGGTAAATGATTGGCAAAAAGCTTGGCCGGTCTTTTTTTGCATGATCGGTTTTGTTGCCCCAAATATATCTCTTAAGGTACACATGCTAGTTATTATATCATCACATCATGTTTTGATTAGTCAGAGAGTTTGTCACTTGACTTAATAACTCAAGGATCCATGGAACTCTGGGGAGCTCTTGGAAGTATTTCACTTAGTTGATGTTTAGAGTTGGATATTGATCGTATTATTAATTTATATTTATTTATGAAGACTTCTATTTTGGGGGAGTTTGCATTTTTATAAACATTCTTAAGTAATGGACAAAACTCCAGTTGTTAAAATCATGACATGGTTTGGTGTACACCTTTCCTGAAGTTTGATCTCCTGCATTGATTTTATTCTTTCCTTTCTTTTGGCCAAGAGTCAGTCAAATATATCTTCTCTTCATTGTACTCTTCTTCTGCCCAGTCAGTAAAGAGGACATTTTACCCACATCTTCCTAACATAAATCTCTCTCCAGATGGAGAATTGAAGTCTTGTCTTGCTAAGGAAGGAAGAAAAGCAGTATATTCTGAAGTCTGGTAAAATCAAGAAAGACATAAAAAATGATAATGATAAGATTACCTGTTTTTATATTCTACCACATGGCATGTCTTTAAATGAATTGCCTATAATTTGTCTCAAATGCTGACATTTAACTCATAAGCTGTATAATTGTGCTTGATATTTCCAGAGTAAAATTCATATTCTGTGACCAGGCTAATATGTTCTTCTACTGCAAACATTACTGCCTATGGTAACAGCTAGAGTAAAAAAAAAAAAAAAAGTCATTTTATATACAGAATGGCAGGCAGAGGCTCATGGGGCCACCACAAATCATTCCTGTTTTTTGGAGCTTGCTTTCAAATGCATGGAAATATAAAACCATCCAGGTCTAACATAGATTGACTTTGAAAGCCTGTTAACTTATTTAGGCCACTGTTCATTCTATTGTTAATATTGCTGCTTAAGACATTGAACAAGCACTTCTAGTTAATAGATTCTCTCAACTAAATAACCTATCCTTTCACTGTGAACCAGCTCCTCTTCCATAAGCCATTTCCAGCTCTCTTTTTGTTAAAGGTTAATAATGAGAATAATAAAGCAATTGATTATTTATGCAGTCAGAATTGGTGGAAGTTATTAGAACAGGAATCCTCCCAGAAGCAGTGATTATGTTATGAAAATGTTAAGGAATACAGAAACCAGTTATCAATTTTGACATTTAAGAAATGTCTCCACCCTTAGTCATATGATGATCTCTGTTAGAAATATTTAATAGAATAATTGCATTGGACAATAATTGCTATACCAATAGCATACATAATTAAAAGCTAAGAGGAAGACTTCAAAATGATCTAAAGGAAAAAGAAACCTTAGAAGGAAATTGACACAATGAAAAGTTAAGAACAGAGCACTCTTTTGGCTAGACATATGTGTGTCCCAAACACCTAATCTCTGAAGTGAGTCTTTCTGATATAGCATTTTCATCTTGATCACTTTTCAAATTTTAGGAGCCACATGAGAAAGTACCCCAGGATATACTGTCATGTTGTCTATTTTAGGCTATAGAGAATGGAGGGAGATAAATAGGCAGAAAATGTCCTGGTCATAGTTGAAAAATATATCAGTGGAAAAATATTGTAACTGACGTTATACTATATAAGCAAGACAAAAATTAAATTTTAAGCCCATTTAGTTAATGTAGTTAACAACTTTGTGTAACTTAGGCAAGAATTACTTTTGCTACAACAGTGTCATTTCTAAAGACTTTTAACAGTTTATGGTCATCCTAGTGGCTGTGAAGTGTTTTCTCATTGTGCTTTTGATTTGCATTTTACAATGGCGAATTATGTGTTTCATATTTTCTTGTACTTAATGGTCATCTATGTATCTGCCTTTGATTAGTATATTAAGGGCCCATTTTTAATTGGGTTAATAATCATTTATCGTTGAATTATATGATGACTCTATATATTCTCATTCTCTTATTCTGAAAATTACCTTTTCAATCTCTCATTTTTATCTCTGTTTATTGGAATCTGCAGTTGTAATGTGTGCAGTTTCAATCAATATTTTTCAAGTTTGCCCTTAATTTGCAATCTCACCTCTTCAGCGACAGTATAGAGAATGCCAAGAACTTCTAAGTCTCTATCAGAAATACCTATCAGAACAGCAAGAAAAGCTCAACATGTCTCTCTCAGAACTTGGTGCTGCTAGAATGCAAGAACAACAGGTAAGCCATTTTTATTTTTACCCTTTCTTGTCTTCATGAGATCAGCAAGATGTCAGAAGGTCATTTGCCTTTTAGTTAATTTTCACACAGTATGTAATATTGTTTTAAAATACTCAACTCCACACCACATTAGTTGGTATGTTTTGCCTTCCTTTTTTTCCCCCTATTCTTTGGACCCAGAAGTCAGCAATGATAACGTGAAATAGGCTGTGGGTCAATGGGAAAACTCTGGTACAGTACAGTAGGAATGGTAAAGAAAATACATTGATCTGTTCTTTTTTAAAAAAATTGATCTGTTCTTAATGAGAAGATCAAGTGGACTGCTTGTTAGTCATTACATTGTCTTTTTTTTTAATCTGGTCTTACCTAACTCACATTCTTAATTCATAGAATAAATTTGACTTAGTGACTTATAAAAAGAGGAAATTGGAATGTTTTGCATGTGGTTTTTTATATACATATTAATCACACAAGTCAAATATATGAATATGTGTGTATAAGAGAGAAAAAGAGAGATCACCAAGTTGTATTGTATTATTAAGGGAATGATCTGCCTGTTCTGACATAAAACTGTTATAAAGACATAGTTCTTGTCCTCTAGCCATTTATACTTGGTCTCTTTTTTTTGTCCATATAACTTTAAATCTTCAAATGAATGAAAATAAGCTTTGCAATTAAATACTATAGAAAAAATTGTGTAATGTGTCAAAAATATTTTATGTTTGATATCAAAATGTACTAAAAAATTTTCCTCTACCTTGTATTTGCAAATCCTTAAGGAAGATCAGATTAGGGTTTACAAGCCTTCTGAAAAACACATGTTCAATGTAGAGACAGCAGTTTCAGGATTAAGAATTTTGATTAAATGCACTTCTGTTCTGAGCCTAAAATTTGCACATAAGGCTAAGTTAATAACAACAATACTGGAATGTGGTAAAAGTGAGACTTTTAACGCTATTTTTAAATTTTGTTTTTATGTTTAAGTAGTTGTACAAAGGAGTTACCATTCAACAAAAATGATCAGTATTATCCCTTTCATCACTCACCCATCTCTAACTCAACCAATTTTGTTGTTGTTATTATTGTTGTTACAATTCTGTCATTTCTCATCTACTTACTAATTGGAATTTTTCTTGTTTTAAATTTTACTTTATTTTGTGTAAAGGTGATGTATAGGTGGTTTCAGTTACATAAGTAGGGTAATGAGTACATTTATTGTTGAACATTTTTATTCCCTCTCTCGTATTGTTTTTAATGTACTGTGAGAAGTTATTTTTTTCTTTCATTCCCCCCTCATTTATCACCTATCATCACTGTTTTTGCTTCTAGTACCCTGTGTCTTTTGTGTATACCTTCATCTGATTTGGGGAAGGGAAAGGGAATATCAAAATGGTGAACAAAGGACAAGGGATGAACCAATGTAACGGCAATACTTACAAGACACTATGTTGGAAATGAACTTTACAATTTAGGGTTGGGGAAAGGAAAGTGAGAGAAAAATTAGGGAGGGGATAACAATCTCTCAGTAGTTTATAAAATCACAAAAAAATTTGTTTTCTTAGAAGTGCTAGGGTTTGCAGTTGTTTAAGGATACAGGTGGACCTGTTGCAACAATGAGAAGTACAAGTTGTCATGTCCAAAACGAGCTTTACAACGTCGGTGCAGGGGGGGGAAGGAGAAGGATTGGGATTGGGAGGGGAGGGGGGAGGCTGGGAAGGGATGTGAAGGGTAAACAAAGGAGGAGGCTGCAATGCTTGGTAAGAAATGTACGCATTATCCTGCCCATGTAATTGTAACCCCTCTGTACAGTATGTTCACAAATAAAATTAAATTAATAAAAAAATAAAAAAAAGAAGTACTAGGGTTTGAATTCAAGGATCTCACTATTGCTAAGCTGATATTCTACCCCTTGAGGCACTCCACCAGACCTTTTTGTGTTGTTTATTTTAAAAAGTGTGTTGCTTTATGCTCAGGCCAGCTGGACTCTTTATGCTTCCCTTTGTTACTGGGAAGCCAGGCATGAATCTCAATGCCTAGCTGTAAGTTAAGATGCAATCCTATGAACTTTTATGCTTAGACTGGCTTAAACTACAATCCTCTGATCTTTACCTCCTAAGTAACTAGGATTATAGGCTTCCACTATCTCACCTGGCTAAAGTCATAAAAATGTTAACATAGAGCCAAATTATGAATGTTTTAATTGTATTCTAATTTGAAAAGTTGTTTATTGTTGTTATTCTGGTTTTTTTGAAAACCTGAATAAAATAAAATGACTTCCCAGGAAAGTAGTAGCTAACCTTGATTATTTATATGACTTGGTCCCTTTCACTTGGAAAATAGTTCAGATAGTTCAAGTATCCCAAGCCTATTGCTGCTATTGCGTGGGCTAGAGAAAAGTGCAGCATTAAGACCAAATGTATTGACTTAGAGTTAAGCTAAAGATTTCTTGGAGGTTTCACTGGTGATCATTCATGATTTACACTGTTTGTCTTAACTCTGAGGAAAAACACACACACACGCAAAAGACAAATTACAAGTATTAGTATGAACATATTTTTCCAAGTATATGAAGAAAATGATTCCTCAAACAGGTATAACCCCTGTTTTCACTATATTTGATGTCAGTGCCCTGCATCTTGTAAATACATTTTTCTAATTTGGGGAGGGGAAGGGAAATAACAAAATGCTGAAATAAGGATACAGGTTGATCCATTGTAACAATGAGATGTACAAGACATTATGTTGAAAACCAACTTTACAAATTGAAGAGGGCGTAGGGGGGAGAATTTGGGGGAGAGGGAAGGGGAAAAACAAAGGAGGAGATAACAAGGCTCAATTGGAAATGTACTCATTACCTTACTTGTGCAACTGTAACCCCTCTGTACAGTATTTTTTACAAATTACATAAATAAAAGTTGTCACATTAAAAAAAAAAGAGATGCCTGGAATGAGGAAGGTATCTCAAGGATAAAATACATGCCTAGCATGCATGAGGCCTTGGGGTTCATCCCCTAGTAGCAAAATAAAGCTAACAGTTACCTTTAATTTTATTTTGACTTAATAAAGAAAACATTTTAAAACTATGTGTTAGCAAGTGCCATATGGTCAAGAGTTAGAGTATATTTTATAAACAAACTTATGCAAAGTTAAAGGCTATTTTTGTGAGCTCTGGCCATTGGAACCACGAGAAAGAAATTTAATTATTTTTGAAATACCATGTTTAGCACCTTTCTTGTAATTTTTTTAAATGATCAGTTTTAACTCCAGTCAATGCATATGGCATAATCCCTGATTTTACTCTTCTGATTTTATTAAAGACTTATTACTACAGAAAATCTCCAATTTCCCAAGATCTCTTGTCCTCTGTGTTTTGTTTGTTTGTTTTCACAACAAGTCCATATCACTTAATGGTTATGGAATAGTTAAGAAAGTGAGGTGTACTAAAGATAAATCATAGCAGAGTACACATTTAATGTTAATGTTTTCTATCACTCTCATTGGTGTAATTTTGTTCAAGGTGTTTTTATAGTGCTTTCAGCTAAATATACTTAGAATTTCTTCATATTCTGTGATTATTGTCATGTGTTCTTTTGGTTAAAAATTTTGTTTATTTTGCCAATATATAGTCATGTAGTAAAGCTCCCTATCATTTTATTATAATTTTATGCTTATTAATATGTACTTATGGTCATGTGGTAAAACTCTTTGTAATCTTATTCAACCTAATTATATGCATATAATATATGTCTATATATTATATCTTTTTGTGTATATGTGCTGGTACTAGAGCTTAAATTCTGTTGCTGGGTATTGTCCCTGAACTTTATGATCAAAGCTTATGCTTTATCACTTGAGCCACAACTCTATTTCTGGCTTTTTGGTGGTTAAATTGAGATATGAGTCAGGTAGACTTTTCTGTCAGGGTTGGCTTTGAGCTGCAATTCTGAGATCTCAGCATCTTGAGTAGCTAGGATTACAGGCTTGAGCCACTGGTACCTGGTATGTATATGTATGTTAAGTACATCTAATACTAAGCTCACTTTAAATTTCACTAGTACTTTGCTATATAACAAGCTCAGATTTTATGAACAGTCGGAGAAGCATCTCCATCCTTACAATTTACAAAGAAACCAAATTTAATATTCCATATAACATGAAAAATCTCTAAATAGAAACAAGAATAGGATTAATTACTGATTCTGCCTAGAAACAATGGAGGATAGTGGCAGTGGGATAAAATGTTCAAAAAACTGAAGGCAGTCAAGCAAAATTATTATTCAAACATGGAGGTGATATAATGACATTCTCAAATAAGTAAAAATTGAGAAGATTTAGTTTCTATGTACCTGTTCTACAGTAAATATTAATAGAAGTCTGCAGATGAAAGGAAATAATATAAAGCAGTAATACAAGATCACATATAGAAATAAAGAGCACCAATGAAAGGTAGGTAGTTATGTAGTTTTCTTAAATAATTTTAAAAACAATAATTTTAAAATTATACTGGTGAGTTTATAGGATATAAAGATTGTGTGTGTACATTTGTATGTGTTTGTACAAAGAGAGGAAAGAAGAGAGCATATCTAGTCTATGATCCTGGAATTAAGTTAGTATAAAGGAAGTAAATCTGTTTTTATTCACAAATAATGTGATCCTATATGTAGGAAAACCTAAAGAATACACACATACAGTAGTACTAATAGAAGAGTTTATCAAGATTATAGGTTATAAGATCTATATGAGGAAATCAATTTTATTTGTTTATACCAATGAACAATTTAAATGGGTGTACTTAATAAAAGAAATATGAAATTGTGTGGTGAAAACTACAAAACATTGCCGAAAGAAATCTTAAGAAAATCTAGATTAATAAAAATGGGTTCTAAATTCATAGATTATGATTTAAATGTTATTAAAATGGTGACTTTTTCAGGGGCTGAGAAGGTGGCTCAGTGGTAGAGTACTTGCCTTGCATGCATGAGACCCTGGGTTCCATTCCT